AACAAATAGCACTGACAGAGCCTACATTACAACATTTGTTTAATGACCGTTTGAAGTTACCGCACTGAAAAAGTGATTTGTGCGCTTTTTTCACATTTATGACCCTTGCAGTATCCCCATGGTTATATGATTAAAATTTAGATGTTTGGCAACTGACTCATATTTATGACGGTTGCAGTGTCCAGGGGTCACATGATCCCTCTTTGTGACCTTTTGACAAGCACAATCAATTGGAAGCCAGATTCACTTAACAACTGTGTTAGCAACTTAACAACTGCAGTGATTCACTTAACTGTGGCAATAAAGTTGTGAAATGGGGCAAAACTCCCTTAATATCTCACTTAGCAACAGAAGTTTTAGGCTCAATTGAGGTCATTATATAGCATTGCCTTATTTGCCACTACATAAATATAAATGAGTGGCTAAATAGTAACAAAGGAACAAAAAACAGACATTGCAATAGTTTTGTTATTTAGTAGATTTTATCCCTTTATTGCTTTATAAGTAACTCAATGCAGCAAACATACCTAATACTCCTTTCTGTTCTTGTTTACTCCACAACTACTAAATAGGTATACGACTAAGGACCTTAATTTTCCTTAATAAATAGAAGCTATTTTCTATTTCTATATTTTCCTTACTAATGTGGTCTGTATCTTCTGTTCAACACAAATTTTTTAGATTGTAGTAACCTGGCAGTAATCTGTATTTTAGAAAGCCTCCTTTTTTTGATGTTTTGCCATCATCTCCTCTCCACTGTCTGGAACAAAATATTTTTTTTAGAGGTCAGTTCAAGAATATCAACTTTTTTATTAGAAAAATCCCCAAAAGGTTAGAGAAATCTTGGTTGCTCTATCCTTATTATTTTTCACCGTGACAGAACTCTTTATGCATTTCATACCGGTACACGTTATAATTTTGCTTAAATCAGCTCAATTCCCCTCCCTCCCCCCCCTTCCATAAAGAAAATCCAACCACGTAAACACAAGAGCGACGGAGGTGAAAACCCGCTTGGTTACCCGAAGTCCTCCTCCTTGAAAGCCCCAGTTCAGACGTGCGCTCAGAGTTTACGTAACCCAACCTAATCTGGCCTCACTCGCGAAGAGCAACGAGGGCGTGACGTCACACAGGGGAGAGAACAAGCAGATTTTGGCAGGAAAGCCTCTCGGTACGAAGGAGGTTTTGACCGGCGTCACGTCCAATTGCCCCAGAATGTTTTTCGTTCGCAGCCCCATCACCTGCGGCACGTCTACACGTGTACGTACCCCTAACACATGCAGCCCAGGAAGCAAGACAGAAGCGCCTTCTTCCTCCCGCACAATACGGCTCCTTCCGTGTCTCGGCAGAGGCTCAGTCAGAACCGCCGAGGAGGAGCGAGCCCACCGTCAACTTAACCAACGACCCGCGAATAAATCAAGCTAATCAACTGTCCGCCCTTCGGCGGGCGAGCAGCGGCGTCCGCCTACCTGGCGCGTCCGTTTTCGCTGTCACGTTGAAGCCACTCCGGCCACCGCAGCTCCCCAAGATGACGGCGTTGAGGGAGGCGGAGGATTTGAAAGCCGGCAGTTTTGTTTCCCGGGTTGTGATTCGCTCCGTGGCCGCTTGCGTTTCCTCGGGGCGGCTTGCTTCGCCTCTTTACGCCCCTCCTTCCTTGCAACGACTCTGAGGTAATTGTAGCCAAAGGGCGGTGACGATGAAAAGAGGTCATAATTTTGTGTTGCACAGTGCAGCTCGCCCACTCGCTCGGCAGCGCAGAGTATCCTGGGAGTTGTAGTTTTTTTTTTTACATTAATATTGGGAAATGTTGGTATTTTTCTCTCGTGGAGCGGTTTGTTGCTAAAAGTAGCGAGATAAATGTGTCTAGAAGAGAGTTGGATTAGCAAAGTAGTTTTTGTCAAAAGAAAAGTTATCTGTTCTCTGGCATATCTCCATCTGTGTAATATGTAGAAATGTTACAGCCTGATTTCTATGTCTGCAAATTCATCACATTCTTAATATTTATATGCAATCGTTTAAAAATATTCGATGAATTTTGAAACGTGTTGTGAGAAAGTAAATTTATTGGACATTCGTTGAAATTTCCTAAAGTGAATACTTTAAATTATGGATTATATTTAACAGAATGTGAAAAATAAGATCAATTTAGGATTAAAGTAAAGCATTTGGGTCAGTTAATAGAATTTTTAAAGAATAGTTGAGCAATGGAAGGAATGTTAAAGGGAATGTGCAATGGAGAAATGGTTACAGACACTTACAGTATCTTCTGGGTGGAGACAGTAATGTACTCTTTGGCTGTGAACCAAAATTATTTGCAGCAAAGGTTTGAATAATACAGGGAGGAATATGATTGTGAAAAACTGCACTGAGGGATAAAGTAGTTTTATGTTTGACAGGGAAAAAATAGAGTGATGAATAATGCAAGCTATACATAAGTGGTGTGAAACTAGAGGAAGTAAAATGAATTTGCTTATCTTGATGCACAGAATTAAAAAGCAATGGATAGAATGTGGTCTATTTCAAGGAATGAAACCGAAATGTCTGTGTATAAAATTGTTTTGCTCATATGTTTATGAGAGTAGGTTATGACAAGAGAAATGAAGTTGAATACAATAGTTTTCCCAAACTATGGCTTCTTGTGCTCTGTTCTTTTACTCATTTAGGAAGGCAACTGTTTAATTTGTTGGTCAGTCACTGCAATATCTATCTATCTATCTATCTATCTATCTATCTATCTATCTATCTATCTATCTATCTATCTATCTATCTATCTATCTATCTATCTATGCAATGCAATACCAAAAGGTTACTTTAAAAGTAAATTTTTAGCCACACATTTATTAATTGAAAAGAAATCAGATGCTGTTGTATATGGACAGAATTCGAAAAGCTTGCCTTC